ATATGTGCGCTTTTGAACGTACTTTTGCAACATATCACTTCTCATTTGCGACTATAATATGCGGACTCCCTCCGTCAGTGGCAACATTCAAAACAGTAGTTTAACTAACGAAGCAATGTGTATACGGCCATTATTACATTGATTTACCCCTACTAAAGTTGTGTTTTTACCATTATTAACATCACCACCATCATGTTTTAGAGGCCACGCTGCAGATGAACCCCTACTTCAACCACCTCACTACGACGAACCAGAGTTCACCAATCCTCCGCATGATCCGTGATGCCAACGGCAGACATTCCGTGCGATTTTAGATACCACGACAAGCCACCCGTAATGGATTCACAAGTGGAACCCAGGTAACTCCTCATTGCTAAGTCCATCTAGGCCGCCCAAATTGACATAACCATCCAGTTTGCCTGTTTCCGATAATCGGGATCGGCGACTGGCACGCAGTACCCACATTGCAAATAATACGACTACTTCTAATCTCTACTGATGACCTATTTTATCGTAACTTTATTCCAGTCGAAAATCTGTACAACGGAAATAGCTTCAGATACTAATCATCTGCACCTTCGTTCTCCTCAAAGGTAATGCTCGGTTCGTCAAATCGATGAATGGACGAATGAAATATGTCATCAGCAAACTCATCAAACAGGTCTTGCAGCCCTTCCTCGGGCGAAGAAGATGGGGGAGAAGGGAGACTGGAAGGAAACCACGTAGGATTCGGGGGAGGATCCTCGTTGCGTTTATGCCATCGATTGATCAGCCAAGAGTCGTGAAGAAGGCAGAAAGAGTGCACTGGACCTACTGTTGGTCCCGACAGGTAAATCAAATTCAACCGAGGATTCATTCGAAGGATCTGCCGGGAGGAAACAAGTGCATCACTAGCGTAATCAAGCATAGGTTCGTGCACAAGACACTTTTCTACCTGAAGGCCACGCGACGAACGATATCGATTGCCCATTACACCATGCATTCGTTTGCCTCGCAGAATTTTTCGCTACGAAGGAAAAAAAACATGTCACGGACACCCATCGCCTGGAAAAAGGGGGAAACCCAAACGATACTTACCCCACTACCGGCTACACTGCCGATTCTCCGGTGAAACTTCGTACTGCCATGAGCTGCAGGACCGCCACTCATGCCCCAGCGCTCAATCACACCTTGAAATCCGCGATTTATGCTAACATCGGTGAAGAGCGTTAAATTATGAAGAACCAGCAATTATGATTACCACTAAATAAGTTGAACGCATGCACTTTATCTGAATCGTAAGCTTGATGTGCAAATCAATGTAAAATAGGTTGAGGGATTGATAATTCCCACTGACAAATACACGCCATGACCTAGTCACTCCATTATGGATAAATGCATACTGTAATAGGTACACATGCCCTTGCAGCAAAATAAATAGCAAAAAACGCTTACGTCCTAGCCGTGACATCCACATAGTCGCCAACGCGGAAGTGATTTATCGTGATAGGGGTGCCTAAAAAAGCAGGAAATATAACCATTCATCCACAAAAAAAGTAAGGCCGAAGAATAAAGGGTGGGCAACGGTCTCACCAGGTTCGAGTGCAGCGTCGGGACTGACGAGGAAGCGAGAGATTTTGCGCTTGGGAGGGACGCCGGCGGAGGTAAAGAGACCGCACCACTCGGCGGTGAATTCGACCGGATCGGCTGACATCGCACCGACGACTTGAAGGCCCCAGCGCCGCTGGTTAACCCACGAGGGTACGTGGCGATTGGTCAACCAGTAGCCTCGGGGATCTTTAAGACTTAAATAACGGTCAAGGTCGGAGGGAGGGACGTAACGGAGTGCATGATTGTCCGGCACCTAAGAAATGCACCACTGCTGTCAACCAAATAAGTTGTTCAATATAATGATATCGGCAACATTGAAGAATCTACTCACTTCGCCAAAAAAATTTGACTTAAGCGCTACGTTTTTTATGAATAAAGTCCAAAACTACAGCATATTTGAAATGGGTTGAGAGTTTGGAGGGTGGAATACCAAACCTCAGAATGGAAATAAAAGAAAGAATAGACCAGGACGTGAGGAAAAAACAAGTAGCAAAATTAATCATTCTGATAGAATCATTAAAGGTGAACTCGGTAAATTAAATAAAAAAAAGAGGTTTCAGTTCTAAAAACTTACAGGTAAGCTAGCAATTGGGGTTGGAGATAGGGAAAATATCTATTTTAGTGCTTTCTATTCATCGCCACTTTATAATGACATAAAAGTCTACGTTACCACAAGTAAAACAACCCCCTGAAACACTTAGGTGATTAAAAGAGAATTAAGATTGGAAAACCAATAAGGAAAGTATTAAAAATGCAAAGAATACAAGCCATGGTTAAATTTATGCAGGAAAGAAACATCATACAACTTATGAAGGGACATGAGAGTCCTCACATAATGCTTGATGAATCCCAAAGGATTAGTGGGGCGTTGAGAAATAAACAAGCTGAGTCGAAAGCACCAGGAGTATTGCAAAATCCAATTATACATTATAAGAGATAACTGAAACCAAACCCAAAGTCGGGATCAAACCCATGACAATTAGCATGTGCGTATTGTCCTCATACAAAACTACCTGTAAAATAGTACAGTCGACCTTTTTACCAGTCTTGGTCCACATTGGATAGATTCCCAATTTTATAGCTATTAGACCGCAGCGCTGGGTCTGCATAGGGAGCCAAGGTCGGTTGGCTTCAGCTGTAAAATTAGTGGGAGTGAATTGATCAACAAGAAGCTTCTGACGTTCAGCGGCGAGGAATTCGAGGTTCTCATTTGATACATCTTCATTGCAACACGGATCAGCCTTCTGGTCTACCCAATAGGGCTTTCGACGGTTCATCCATGGGTAAATGAATTTGGTCAATTTACCAAGCTGACGAACACATGAAAGCTGCGCAGTCCATCCGCCTGCAAGCAAAGCTGAACCGAACCTTCTTGTGAAAAAGGCCATCGCTTTTGCCAGGCTAATTTGGTCAAGACGCAACAGGATCCCATTTCCAGCGAATCGCAAAGAAGGCAACCATATAGAAATTGTTCCAAATTTTACTATTCCTGCTTTATGCATTAGCGCAACATCATTATTATCGCCACACTATCAAATATAGCGACCGAATTATTCTTATAAAACAGTATTATTCTTCTACTCAGACACAAGCTACGCTTGATTAGAGAAAGTAGCTAATAATTATAAACATTAGTATCATGTTTTGTAGTTTGCACTCAAAAATTTTAACAAGTGGGGAAGCATAGTTAGAAAATCATGCAAGCTTTTGGAAACAGTTTTGGTATAATTGAATAGCTTGAGTAATGCAGTGCTTGAGACTTCTCTAACAATAAGAGAAGAAAACACTGGAGTAGAATGTATGTATATCGTAATGCGTTTGTTGCTTGATTCCCGATTTTGGTGAAGAGTCACTTTTGACTTGACCACTGTACCACTCCGGGTGGGCAGACATTCGGGCTATGCCAGTAGCCCAAATATCTTCTCTGTGCTGAATACGTATACCATGTCCGAGTATTGTGTCTTCTTTTGTCTTCAGGGAAGTCTTGGGGCGCCGCAATACATATATGCATATATACATATACATACATGCACATATATATATATATGTGGAGCGAGGCTCCTCGGTCTCCGTTTCCCGATTCC